GGCTGGTAACTTTTCAGAGTTACCTGCCCGGCGGTCTGGCTAGTAACTTCCTTGAATTTCATACACTGTAATTAACATGTGTGTTTTATGTTAAAGAACAACGGGACTTGGACCCTAGAAAATTCTGAGAGTATGGGGTCTTGAATGGGTTTTTTAAATTAACTTGACCTATATTCAAGAATACGACTGAAGGTCTGTTATTAATGCTTTCTCTGCATTTCCCCTTCCTTCCTACCTCGAAGACCGCCATCAGATTCACACATCGTAATAGCTGGGTCTGTCCAACTCTGCAATGAATCTGACTTAAGTGCAATCTATGGAATCAGCTATTCATTGTCTGACAAACCACTAATCACCCCACCCCCTAGGGACGGCCACACCCCAAGTCACACTAAAATTCCCATGTAGCCCACTCATGCACCAAAGACTCATGTTCCTAATTCGAATGGTCTAAGAGGAGATGAAATAAATTACGGTAATATATAAGTCAACCATCCCCAGGGACAGCCACACCCCAGGTCACAAAAAAAACAAAAAAACAAAAAAAAAAAAAAACAAACAAACAAACAAACAAACAAACAAAACAAAACAAAACAAAAACAACGATGTGCCTATGCCCACCCCGACATTTTAGTTTCCTCAACCCAAAGACCTGTGGGTATATAGCAGAAAATATAATTTAAAGATAATCAACCACCCCTATAGGGAGAGCAACACCCATAGTCACCAAAAAGTCGAAGGACACGTGCACATCCCTAACGTCTCATGTTCCTCACTTTAATGGATAGAGGATAACAGTAACAACGATATAAAAATATATACCCCCCCCCCAAAGAACTGCAAAGTAACACTACTAAAGATCTACGGGTAGAGACAGAAATTATGATGTAAAAATTACAATCAACCACCCTATGGGACAACCACACCCCGTACCTCAAACCGTTTCAGAGACTTACAAAACATCCTGGTTGCAAAATGCATTGCAGTTGCAAAACTCATTTTCAAGATTTTCTTTGGGTGCAAAATGCGTTCAGATGCAAAATGCGGCTCTACAACTGTCATTATGATTGTGATAGGGCCCCTAAGTAATTTGAAAAAGAAAAGGGCAGCACACAGCACTGGACAGCTGAGTGCTTGAATGTAGGTCAAGGAATCCAATAAAAAACTGGGGGAGATGACAGAAATTGTGATATGTATAAAATAGAAATCATCCACCCCGGGGGCAGGCAGCAGATTCAGCCTATGGTGTCAAGGCAACCCCGTTCCTAACCCGATTCTATCTCTAAATAATTTCAAATAGTTCCAGTTACTTTAAAGAAATTGGTTGCTAAATGCGTTACAGTCGCAGATTGCGTTTTCACGTATTTCTTTGGTTGCAAAATGTGGCTTTACAACTATCTTAAGAAATGACTCCCCAGGCAGTAGTGTGCTGTAGTTAATTTACGCTCTTATCTTTCACATTAAAACCAAGTAACAGGGTATCAATTACAAGTGCTCAAGTGAGGTGTAAGCACAAAAGAAATAAGCAATCATGAGCAATATACTTGAGACACAAGGATACTTAGCAACTTAACTTTTTAACATTTAACTTAACATCAATTTATTCTGAATAAATATCAATCTACAAGCCTTTTGATCTCGCAGATCTTTTACGTTAATTAGGCTGCTAAACAACAAGTATGCCTAACCCCCCTACGCGTAAATTATGTTTTCATAGCCTGGTATACTTGATCCATTAGTTTTATGTATCAAGCGGATCGGATTTGGGAAGGGAGGGCCCAGGGGGTCTGCACCCCCTTTGCTTCAACGCTGACCATAATCTCCCATAATTTACTGATTTTTAGAAATATTGGATCCTCATCTACATATGCCTGTGTATTTTAAAATTGCTCAAAACATGCATCCAATACCACTTAAGAAACCCTATTCAGTCATACAAGTAAATTAAAACATACAGTTTACCCATTGTGGATAAAATATATACAGTACAAAAAATTATATTTCAAAAACGTTCTCTCTCATAACGTTGGGCCAACAACAGGTACTTTTTCACTATTATCCCATGAAGTCGCAGGCAGTATCTTATGTGGAGATGAAGTCGCATTTTATCCTATGAAGTCGATTTGACAGTAAAATCAGAGCATTTATCCCATGAAGTGGTAATATACCATGAAGTATCTTAACAGACGTCGTTACCCTGTTTGATGCGGCTACATTAGGATATGATATACACTGTACCTTTCCCTGGTAGTGCAGCTCCACCGTCAATAGAATAAGTAAGGATGAACAATACAAACAGTGGACTTCCACACATGGCGGTCTCTAAAAAGTAGACAAAAATACCTCAGTATGCAGCTCTTAACATTACGCCTGAGGTCAGACTTAATGTGTATTTTAGAGGGTAATGTGTTTCAAAACGAAGCATGACTATAAAAATATATATTAGACTTTTCCTGAATATGTCATTCACGCATACTTTGCTCATGGGCTGCCCTGAGTGTCACGGTCACAGTAAAGCGGGCTTCAACAGTGACCCTGAAGAACAGCGACTGTGTACGATTTCCGTCAATAAAAAAGAACTGCTCCGCAGTGAATCTGCAGTTGAATGTCATTAAACCAAAATGAAACGTAAAACAGATTTTATTCTTCTTTATTTAATTTTATTTACTGTATCTAAGATGTAAAGTGAAAAATAAATAATATGTTTCTAAAAGAAAAAGATATAGCCTATGTTTTTGTATTTTTGCTTATCAAAGAACATTTGCTCCTGAATATATAAACACAATACACGTGCTTACCGTGTGCCAAGATTGACAGCTACACTGTAAGCCCGATACCACTATACAGGGCCTGCGCAATGGCTAGACCAAAATCAGTATTTAAAGCAGAATGTTGCTCGTGTTGTGGTACTGACCTCCGACTGCAAGATATTCTTAGTTTAAACATCAAACTCCGCGTCAGCCACCTTACTTCTTGTCTCGTCTGCACGAGATAACGTCAGCGCAAGGCGGGAAAGGCAGCTCCAGGCGGTTAAAGCTGTGACGTACGAGACTTATGACTTCCAAATATGGAACTCAGGCGGACACAGCTGTGACGTACGAGACATGTAACTTCCAAATATGGAAGCGCCAAAGGCAAAATTTTGTCAAAGAACGCCCCCAAGTTGACGGTAGTGGCTATAGACCCAGTTTTGCTGATAAGGGTTATATATGAAATCAAGATCTAGCTGGCAAAACTGAAATCTAGAACCTAGAGTATCATTGGCAGACTTTAATAATCAATTCAAAGCCTAAAAACAAAAGTCCAACTTTGCTGGAATTTCTAAAGACTGGGTTCCCATGCAGGATCGATCCATCTCCAAGGGGTTTCTCGCTAAATTGCTTTTAGTTTAAGCGGCTTAGATGTCTGCCACGCCTACTGTAGCTGCTTAACGATAGTTAATTACCCCCTAACAGCTTCATTACGCGTGCCAGACATCTGAGCCGCTCGAGTATAGATTGCAATTTAGCGAGAATCTCCTTGGAGTAAGATCGACCCACAGTTAGTAAGATATGGTCTAGGAAAGGTCCCAAAGACTCAAAGCAGTCAGTGAACAAATGCCCTGTCTTTGATGTTCCGAGACCAAGTTTTATTTGCATTCTGTCTCATAATATGTGTTATTCACAATGTGTCACGAAGTCAGAACTAACCACGAAAGTAGCTGATTTCCAACTTGGTGGTCCTACAAAACAAAAAGTTATGCCAATTAATAAAGTCTGTGTCGCTAAACATTTTTGTTTCTTGATGACCTGAGAGTCGAGCCTTTGGTACATTCATGGTTGGTCTATGTGTTTTGAACCCAGGTACAAATACACACATAAGTATTGCATTCTGTATGTGCAAGTCCTTTTGCAATAATAAACTACTAGACTCACCCTTCACAAAATCGACGAAAAGGGGTTTATTTACAAAATTGAACGGGCATTGTAGAAAAAAATGAAAACAAAAGCTCTCAAATTTTTACACATTGGTGCACTATTACATATATAATTTATGTACCAAATTTTAATACAAACAGTTTAGTTGATTTTGAAATAGAACGCTTCTAATTTGGTGAAAACCGTAACACAAAGGCTTCAAGATCTCGACGAAAGCCGGTATTGGATTATAATGTCACTCAATTGTAATTTGGAAAGCTGCTGGATGATTTTACGATGAAAAAGACTTCGTAGATGAAAACGTTTAGAATATAACCGTACAGATTATAGAAGATTCAATAATTCAATTAATTGATTTCTTGTAGCGTGAGTCTAGCTCTTAATAAACCATTCTTCCGCCTATTTGTATGTAAATGGTGTTCAGGCTGATATGATTATCCAATGACAGTTGAAGGCCTAGAAGTTTAGTTTGTTCACTGTTACTGATAACAAATATTACGATTAACAGAACAACAAAATGCCATAACTGACCCATTACAACTAATCTAGACAAATTAGACACAAAGACATAAATGGATAAAAATATAAAAGTACATCTCCCGTCAGTATGAAATTCGATGGACTAAAGTCACATTAAACACGTGTAGCAACAGCATTAAATAAATGAATAACATTTACGCCTCTAGTTGTTCATTTTGTAAACCAATTACTGGACACTTTATGGTCTAAATGTCTTCAAATGTACATAGTCAAGAAGACAGCAAGTGCTACAACGTGAAATATAAACTTTTTGATAATTGTTAAATATTTCGACTTCGTTGCCATAAACGGTTGACCTGAAACACACGAATGGCCTGATTTAGCATTTAGATGTTGAAACAACCTCACAAAATATGTAGATTATACAAAATCATGTTGATTTTCTCCAGTCTTACACATTTAGTCCTCTTCGTGAATTAAATAAAATGTTAAAGAGGATAGAGTTAGGGCAATTCCAAAGACATCAATATTTATAGAGGCACTAGCATCTTTAAAAAATGACGGTTGCTCTAGCGTTTTTGGGTTAGCTTACATATATATACCGGTACGGTTGTGAATCAATAAAAAATAATTTGGTCAAAATGTTTATTAGCTTGACATTTTGATCATATAACTATACAGATATGGAGCACCAGCTTTGTTATTCTACCGTTGTTAGCTTACATGGTCGGAGGCCTTCATCGGACTTATGTGAGTACAATTTTATTGACACTAAATTTCTGCTTCGTGTCGCATCGACCACATTAGGTTTAATCTTGCCACTGTTATTAATCCTTTGTGGTTACAAAGGCAAGCCGACACGAATACAATTACACAAGGTAAGTTAATCGTAAGTAACAGAAAAAATTTCAAAGGCAAAGGAAGTAGTCTTGCTCATATTTTGATGTATAGGGGACGCTACCTCGAGAGAGCATTGGCAGAAACAACAGTGTCCAAGAAAACTATTTTGCACCAAATACTAATTGACAACAATCCAGTCTTTCGTTAAGGAAAGGATTGAAAGTGGTAACATTTTAACAATACTCCTTATATGTTGCGACTTTGAAGTTGGTCTTGGTGACAGTGTCCCAGGAAATGAGACTCCCCTCGTTAGTATTGGCACATATTGCCAGGCCGGGGATGTCGACTTTATCATGGTCCCAGACGTTGACGCCGCCGACGAACCCTACAAATGATGGATGCTTTGGAGGACAATCAGGTGTTGCCTCGTAATGGGTATGTCCAACGACCCATTTTCCACCTGAAGTCAAGTTATAATGAAAAGGATAAAAACAAATATGGAAATTTGGACGATCATTCATACTATAAAATTAAAACAACAATGTACATGTATATTCAGTACAGTATAAAGCTGTCCACCTCCTGTGCTCTGACAGACAATATAATGTATAATACAGCAATTATTTACATAGCATCCAAACACCATGATCTTACCTCCAGGTATTAGTGAAACATTCACAGGGCGACTCAGCGTGTGGAAACCATCCCTGTAGATATTAACCTCCCTCTTGGCACCACTCCACACCACACACCAGTGGTGCCAGTTTCCATCGGCCGGTAGGGGAGCTTCAGCACGAGAGGCTCTATCCAGTATGCTAACGTCCTTCAAAACAACCGAGTAGCCGTGACCAAAGGGGCTGTATCCAAGTTCGATACACTGGCGACAACTCTTAGAACCGTAGGACAGAATGGGGCCACTTGTGGTGCGGATGGTTTTGATCCATATACAAGCTGTGAAAGCGTTTAAATCAGGGGTACTTGTGTGTAGTAGTGACCATGATAGGGTGCTATCTGGCTCAGGGAAGTGCAAGACTCGAGCGCCTCCTAAAAGTAAAACATGGATACTCAGACAAGGGAAGGTCATCAACAGAACAGAGATAGTTATGACGCTTACTGTGATCAAATGATAAGTATATATTTAAAATGTATTGTGGGATAAATTGCCTCACTAAGGAGTTATTTTGTCTGTATATCAGTTTTGTATGACTATCTCTCATGACGGTTGCCGTTCGGGCGCTACAGAAGACCTGTCAACCAATCCTCTCCATTCCTCCCTGTGTTCCGCACGTTTGACTGCCTCGCTAAGCTTCAATCCTGTCCATTCTATGTTGTCTTCCCATCTCTTCTTCTGCCTTCCTCTCTTTCTTCCTCCTCTGACTGTTCCCTGAAGCACTGTCTTGGCAAGCCCCTCTCCTCTTGTTACATGGCCGAACCATCTTAGTTTGCGCCTTTTGATGGTGGTGAGAAGATCTTCATAGGGACCAATGGCTTGCCTTATTCTGTTTTTCACTTCCTCGTTGGTTATGTGGTCTTTGTAAGAGATGCCAAGCAGTCTTCTGAAACATCTCATTTCTGAGGCCTGAATCCTCTTCTCTAATTCTGATGTAAGGGTCCAAGTTTCACAAGCATACAGGAAAACTGAGTGGACAAGGGAACGCATGAGTCTTATCTTTGAGCTCAGCTTGATTGCCTTGTTCTTCCAAATGGTGTTCAACTTAGCCAGTGTTGCAGCTGCCATTGCAATTCTGGCTAATATTTCAGGTTTGGACCCCTCATCTGAAACTATTGCTCCAAGGTATTTGAAATTCTTCACGGTTTCAAGCTTTTCTCCGTTGGCAGTGATGTCTGTTTGGATTCCATTTCCATTATTTGTCATCAGTTTTGTTCTGTTTGCACTGATTTCCACGCAGTAAGCTGTGGACGATATATCAAGTTGCTTGACCAGGTTCTCAAGCTCTTGTCAGATCCTGCGAGTCCGTCTATATCATCAGTAAAACGCAGATTTGTGATTGTTCTGCCACCAATGCTGACTGTCCCTTGGTGGTCTTTAAGTGCATCTGTCATGATTCTTTCAAGGAAAACATTGAAGAGTGTCGGGGAGAGCAGACATCCTTGTCTCACTCCAACTGTGGTTCGGAACCAGTTTCCAACGTCCCCGTTAAGGTAAACTGCACTGCTAGCCTTGTTGTAGAGGTTCTGTGTGACGCGGATGAGGTTTGCATTGATGTTGTAGTAGTTCATGGTTGCCCAGAGTGCCGCATGCCACACTCTGTCGAAAGCCTTCTTGGAGTCTACGGATACGTGGTAGAGTTCTTGTTGGTGTTGAAGGTATCTCTCACACAGAATCCTGAGGTTGAAAATCTGCTCAATTGTGCTGCGTCCTGCGCTGAATCCTGCCTGCTCTTCAGCTATAATCGCTTCAGCCTGGGGTCTTAACCTGTTCAATATGATCCTGAGCATCACTTTGCTAGGATGGCATATCAGGCTGATGGTGCGGTAGTTGCTGCACTGTTGCAGGTTGCCTTTCTTGGGTAGGGTGATTACTAAAGACTGGGTCCATCGTGTTGGCCACTCTCCTGTCTCCCAGATCTTCTGGCAGATTGCATGTAACGCATCGATCATGTCCTCATCCCCTGCTTGCACTAATTCTCCTGGGATGTTATCAATACCTGCTGATTTTCCTTTCTTCAGGGACTTCACTGCTTCCTCCGCTTCTCTGAGGATAGGGAAACTGTCTGTGTCTGTTGCCAGAGGGGTATTGAGCTTCTCTGTGTCTGCTGTTGCGCGGTATGAGTATAGATCTGCGGGATACTCTGTCCACCTGTTCAAGATGTCTTTGAACTCGGTCAGACACTTCCCGTTTTTGCCGAGAATGGGACGTCCTTGCTTGCTGCTGGTAAGGTCCTTCACAACTTGGTAGATCTTCTTGGCGTTGTTTGCTTTCAATGTCGTTGCACCGACCAGTAACCCAGTCTTCCTTTGCCTTGATCATGCTCATCTTGATCTGCTTGTCTGCTTGCCTGTACTTGTCCGCTCCCTTGTCACTTTCATACTTGAACTGCTTAGTTCTCTCCATTCGTCGCACAGCTTGAGTAAATCTTGTGTGACCCAAGGCTTCTTGGTGGCCCGCTTCTTGCCCAGGACTTCATTTGCCGTCTCAGTCACTGCGGTGTTGAATGTATCAATGAAAGTGTCTGTGTCTTGTATGCACTTTGACAAATATGTTGGCGATTCTATGCTTCTTAGATGATACTCTGAGTGAAGTAATTCAGAGAATATGGTTGTGATCCTAGGTTATAACAACATAACAGAACAGTTAGATGTGGAAAACTCGGGAACAAAAGCTAGGGAGAAATACCTGGAATCTTAGGTATTTAAAATACTTGATCGGTTAGGTTTTGAAAATTCACAAAAAAAAACATAATAAATAAAAAATAAATAAATAAAATAACAGAAAGTGGCTGTGATCTTTAATGCTAATAAGGTAACTGTGGCAAATTGTCTGCTGTGAAAAAAAAAACTCGGGAAAACTGTTTAGGAAATATGATTGTGATCACAGCTGCTTATTTCTTACTTTTTTCTTTCTCTTTCCTTCCCTCCCTTCGTTCTTTATTTATGTATTTATTTTATGACATCCACCTGGAAATATAAGAAGTTTTACAGGGCATTAATGTGACTGTGGGGATTTTCAAACAGGTGGAGAGAACTTCTAAAATTTCATTTTGGCGGGAAAATCTTATGCAATGATCTGATAATTAGGTCCTTCGAGACGAAAAGGGAGAGTTACACCGCAGCCAGTGTCTCTAAACATTTTTTTCTGAGACCTATCTTTATATGCATTCTACTTCATTGTGTCTTATTCACAATTCACCAAAATATATATAACACATTTGGCCTTCCCCGTGCATATATTTTGTGTAAATAATTCTAAATACCTGGCGGTGGGTTTCCTGATCCACTGCCAAAACGATAAGACAACGCCAACGCAGCAACCAGAAAATGTCCAAACATGGTGTCTCTCAGGAAAACAGAGTAGGAATGCTGTAAGTTGACTCTAAACATATGCGTGTTTCTCCGATGATCTGATGCCAAACTATGCGGGTCTCCCAGTTAAATGTTTCAAAACGTGGCATGGGTAAAAACTTTTTGCCTTTGTTATTCACACGTGTTTTTGTAGTTTGCTTGCTTGCATGTTCAATGATATTCAAACTGAAATAGCAATGCAATGAGTCTTTTAGTATATATTGGTCACATTAAACCCTTCTAATAGCAGCATTTAAGTCATCAGGGGGGTATTTTTGGGCGTTCTTACATAACGTTATGGGGATCTTTTTTACATATTATTACAATTCATGACAAGAAGAGCTTTAACAAGTGAAATTTTCTTATTTTTGAAAGGTAATACCAACCCACCGTCCAGTGCACACAAAAACACACATCGTTTTCATTAGCTTTTTAAACGAGTAGAGTATCTGAAACTGTACTACTACGTTTCGAGACATAAATAGGTAAATAGAAAGAGAACATCTTCAGAATGAATTTTGTAAATTGTAATTCTAAATAATAAGATTATTTTAAACAGTACAGTTACATGGACCATATAGTTAAAATAATTATCGTAGGAAAGGCTTAGATTGTGTTAGTTGCGAAAGCATATAAAGTTTAAATGATATAAATGAACTTAGTAAGTAACGTGTTTAAAAATGGACTAGATATTCTATATCGGGTAATATATTTTCATAGCACTGGTAAATGTATGGTTCGCTTTCGGACTAGAGTGCCGGATTTGAAGTATAAAACTTTAACAGTTAGCACTGTGGGTTCAACAATTTTAATTGTTTTCTTTGTTCCCGGACGATGTTTTCCTAGTGCTGCTTGAAGACTTTTTCTGAATACCATACATGCTGGTCAAGGTAATTGTACCTCTACAGTAGAAATTCTCAAAACTTTCTTTCAACAAGTGTGCAAAGCAAAAGTTGATTTTAAGTCACCAAAGAGATAGAAAAGTTCATGGAAGCCAATTTCTGGGTTCATGCTTTGGAAACATCGTGGTGTCTACTGCGCTATAAGTTGGATTAATTTTTTTTTTTTTTTTTTTTTTTTTGCCGTATTCGTGGTTTAGGTCTTATATTCGAAATTTGAAATAAATGACACGCGGTAATGGTGGCAGGAGCATCACAGCACTTCATGGTCTCATCACGGTGTCGCCGATATGAACGTGTCATTTTTGCCAGGGATTCAATCTAATGACGTCATGTGAAAAAAGTGTGAATAATGAAAGTATTTTGATATAAAAACAAATTTGTTGTTTTCAAAATTGTTTTAATCTCTTAAAATTATGAAATAAACACAGACTTTTGTGAGAGGTGGTCATAAAAAATGAACCTATCCTGAACATTTAGCAATTCTCTTCTTGTTAAATTGTCATGTCGACATTTATACAATATGATTAATCCATAAGATATAAAATCAAGGAACAGGAAAGTTGCTGTTTTAGTTTAAAATGACAGTATCCAAGAAAATAGTTTTACGTATGTTAATCTTTAATTACAAGAGGGCATATGTTAAATACTAATTGTGTTCTAAAAAATACAAAATGTTAACTGATTCATAAACAATACTATGAACCAATTACAACAAATATAGATATGAGGAAATTTTGATTGACCAGTTTTTAATGACTTCATGTGCGTTAGAACTTCGGACTCCACTGAGCGTGTGTTGCAGTGATAACACATGGACAGTAGACGGAAAATCGACGTGTCATAAAAACAACATGCCGCAAACATGCGTTGTACCCGGGTGCCATAATCAACGATACAATAAAAAGACGTCCGCTGTTTTGTTTTACCTTCGGAGACAGCTAGAAAAACGTCCAATCAGGATCAATGCTTAGAATTTTAAAATCCTAGAGTAGTGGCATAACAGTAGTGTCGAACCACAATGTCCGTTTTTTTTTTTTTTTTTATTTTATTTTATTTT